ACTGTACTAAATAAAGAGGGATACCAGGGCTGTACAAAATAAAGGGGATATCAGGACTGTACTAAATACAGGGGGATACCAGGACTGTACTAAATAAAGAGGGATACCAGGACTGTACTAAATAAAGGGGGATATCAGGACTGTACTAAATAAAGAAGGATACCAATACCGTACTAAATAAAGGAGGATATCAGGACTGTACTAAATACAGGGGGATACCAGGAATGTACTAAATAAAGGGGCTTACCAGGACAGTACTAAATAAAGAGAGATAACAAGACTTACTAAATACAGGGGTACATCAGGAATGTACTAAATAAAGAGAGATAACAAGACTGTACTAAATAAAGAGGGATACCAGGACAGTACTAAATACAGGGGGATACCAGGACTGTACTAAATACAGGTGGATATCAGAACTGTACTAAATAAAGGGAGATACCAGGAATGCACTAAATAAAGGGGGATATCAGGACTGTACTAAATAAAGGGGGATACCAGGACTGTTCTAAATAAAGGGGGATACCAGGACTGTACTAAATAAAGGGGGATATCAGGACTGTACTAAATAAAGGGGGATATCAGGACTGTACTAAATAAAGGGGGATATCAGGACTGTACTAAATAAAGGATACCAGGACTGTACGAAATACAGGGGGATATCAGGACTGTACTAAATAAAGGGGGATTCCAGGAATGCACTAAATAAAGGGGAATACCAGGACTGTTCTAAATAAAGGGGGATACCAGGACTGTACTAAATAAAGGGGGATATCAGGACTGTACTAAATAAAGGGGGATATCAGGACTGTACTAAATAAAGGATACCAGGACTGTACTAAATACAGGGGGATATCAGGACTGTACTAAATAAAGGGGGATTCCAGGAATGCACTAAATAAAGGGGGATACCAGGACTGTTCTAAATAAAGGGGGATACCAGGACTGTACAAAATAAAGGGGGATATCAGGGCTGTACTAAATAAAGGGGGATATCAGGACTGTACTAAATAAAGGATACCAGGACTGTACTAAATACAGGGGGATATCAGGACTGTACTAAATACAGGGGGATTCTAGGAATGTACTAAATAAAGGGGGATACCAGGACTGTTCTAAATAAAGGGGGATACCAGGACGGTACTACATAAAGAGAGATAACAAGACTGTACTAAATACAGGGGGATACCAGGACTGTACTAAATAAAGAGGGATACCAGAACTGTACTAAATACAGGGGGATACCAGGACTGTTCTAAATAAAGGGGGATACCAGGACGGTACTACATAAAGAGAGATAACAGGATTGTACTAAATACAGGTGGATATCAGGACTGTACTAAATACAGGGGGATACCATGACTGTACTAAATAAAGAGGGATACCAGGGCTGTACAAAATAAAGGGGATATCAGGACTGTACTAAATACAGGGGGATACCAGGACTGTACTAAATAAAGAGGGATACCAGGACTGTACTAAATAAAGGGGGATATCAGGACTGTACTAAATAAAGAAGGATACCAATACCGTACTAAATAAAGGAGGATATCAGGACTGTACTAAATACAGGGGGATACCAGGAATGTACTAAATAAAGGGGCTTACCAGGACAGTACTAAATAAAGAGAGATAACAAGACTTACTAAATACAGGGGTACATCAGGAATGTACTAAATAAAGAGAGATAACAAGACTGTACTAAATAAAGAGGGATACCAGGACAGTACTAAATAAAGGGGGATATCAGGACTGTACTAAATACAGGGGGATATCAGGACTGTTATTGAGAAAGGGGGATACCAGGACGGTACTATTTAAAGAGAGATAACAAGACTGTACTAAATACAGGGGTACACCAGGAATGTACTAAATAAAGGGGAATATCAGGACTGTACTAAATAAAGGGGCATATCAGGACGGTGCTATATAAAGAGAGATAACAAGACTGTACTAAATAAAGAGGGATATCAGGACTGTACTAAATACAGATGGATATCAGAACTGTACTAAGCAAGAGTCATCACAAATATGACATATCCCCCCGGCAGCTGTCTGTAAAGTAACCAAAAGTAAATGTGCAATTCTCTATGTAATGAGTCAAGAGTTGAATGTTCTTGAAGAATCATACATTGCATACCCACAAAAGATCCACCATGGTCGCATTCATAAGAAATGGAAAGTAAAACAAATGTGTTTCTGTGGGTTTTTTTATGCAAACAAATGACACATTACAAGAAACAATAACTAAACAAGCGTATAGTCAACGAAGTCATCTATATCCCCCGCCCATTTTAACACGTTATGGTCCCAAACCAGGTGACTGACCCAATATTTCTCTTAACCCATGTCGAAATAGTTCAAATACGGATTTCTATCAAGCCAAATCATTAGTGTTTTCCTTCAAAGCCAAAGCATCATCAGACAATATTGCTTTCTCAGAGAGGTAAGTAATCAAACATTTCTTGACATCGGCCTTAAGCATACTAGATTTGACGTCAATTTGTAATACTTTGACAAATCGTCCTGTTCAGTAGAAGGTTGGTTAACAAAGTAATCTACAATAAACACAATGGTGATTGATAACTTCACACAATTGTAGATAAAGCGCCAAAAACTCTTTCCATATCCAAAAGAAATCTCTGCAATAAGCAGATTCGATTGTACGATTCCGACTATGTCATGGTCATGTGTTTATGAATCACTATCAAATAGTGATAGTACCAGGTGTTAGCAAAGAGGTGAGCGTATCCTGCCCCACCGGTGGCACCCATCACAAATACATGCACAGACAAGTAAATTGTTCACCTGAAAAAACACGGGAACATATGGTCAAAATAGGGATTGCATTGGACATAATTTTTGTCACTGATACGTCGAATTTTGAAATGTCCTCCACATGTCTACCATGAAACTTTGTGAAGCTTTACTGAGGCCTTGATTTTTGTAACCGTGATCAAACAACTTCTGAGCAAAGGTCGTATCTCTCTTGAAATCTTGGAAGAAAGAGCATGCTTGATTCTTGATTGGTTATTTGATTGTAATTGAACGATATCAGATCATCGCTGTACCTGAAGCTTAAGTTACACTTCTTGGCCAAAGTATCTTGTTTTGACTTTGCCAATCCGAGGGGAACTTCCAAGTCATATGCATAAAGAAACAGATCCGTAAGAAGGGGAGCAACATTAGTGCCAATGGTGATGCCTACTCCTTGCCTTAATGTCTTACCCCTACATTTACATGAGATCAATGAGAAAGTCCAGCATTTCACATATTGTTTTCTCAGTAAACTTCAGATGGCATTTGCTTTCATTTCTCAAAATTTGTCCTGAACCTCTGAATATAGGTACGTTACTGTATCTGTGTACACCGCGTTTTGTAACAAAAGTCTGGGGATCAAAGAACGAAGTTTTTCCTTTAGTTTGTCATGTGGGATAGTGGTGTACAAAGTTGAAAAATATAATGTTTTGACAGAATGGAACTTGGTTCTTTTCTAAGATTGGAAAAAGTCAAGCAAATACTTTGGGTTTTTGAGAATCTGCTTTGTATTAATTCCACGTGTCTCAACTACGTTCTGTGAAAGTCCTCTGTTGATCATTTTAAGGATTATGGTTACTCTTTGAGACAGGGAATCCTGGAACCAGCCATATATCTCTTTGTGGAGTTTTGGGGTCCAGTACAAAAGAGGAATGGAGATGTCTTCAGGTTTTAGAGTCAAGTCAAAAACTGACAGTACTAATTTATGGTTATTGCAGATTTCTTCCTCAGTTAACATACTGGCCTTATATGTGGCCTTATTTGATATGTCATTTATACCAAGTTCTTTGATCAAGCAAGTAATGTAGTGATTCTTACATATAATGGTTATGCTATTTGAGGCCTTGTCGGTGGGAAACTACGAACTTTTCCTGTAGGACAGCCAGACTTTGGATAACAGCTGGCTGGGTCATAATGGGTTTCAACTCCGTTTCCTCTTTTTAAGTTTATGCATTCTACCAATGCCAACATCACGCACTGACTTAATCCACTCTGAAAGACATTTGACAGGTTCCTCTTCTCTTTTCGCCCATTTTTGGGGCCTATTCTTCGACAGGTTGTTATTGTCAACAAAAGAGAAGTCACCTGTGATTATATGACCTGCATGTTGATAGCAGGATGATGAGTCTTGGCAGCCACAAGTAGTGGAATTTACATCATGAACTGTCAAGTCCAATGTCCTATAATTGAACAACCTGGATGAAATTGTGTTCGTAAAGGAAAATGAAATTGTTGGTGGTTCCTGAAATTTGAAATCCCATTACAGGTCACGTCAGAACATCCATTCCCGAACAATGACCGACAAATGAAATGACTATACAGGAAGTCAACGTTAGCCACTAAGAAAGCAGCTTTGCGTTCCAGTTTCAAACTGGCGACTTCCATTCCAGACTATGCTTCTTAAATTATTTTGAATAAATCATACATTCCGTAACAGTTGTTTTGTGTTAAGCTTTAGAGGTTGAATGATAAGAAGTATATTCCGCTTACAATGTAACATAACAATATTTTTCATTTTTTATTACGTGTTTGTATCGTTATCTATCGTGTAGTTGTCCGACTTTCGATCACGAAAGTTGATACTACTTAATTTAGTTTATCCAACATACTCGTTAACCGACATAATCATATGCAACCAACCATGTCAGATTAACGGGACGTGACTGTATTGGGGGACATTTTTCGGAAATTGATCTTTGTCTGAGCATGTTACTTAAATTTAAAGACTCCATTTAAAGGATCGATTGTTTGCAAATTTCGAATTCAAGAAATTGCGCCCTTTGTCTGACTTAATGGAGTCTGTTTCTGGTTTGGCTATACTCTATACTAGTCGATACTGTGGGCTCTTACACCGCATCCACACTGTCGGGTACGATGGTACACAACCACCCGATCGCCATAAGCCGCAGAAGCATGTGGTATTGAGCAGCTAGTCTGCTAGTTACGTTGTTAAACATACTCACTCAGTGCAAGACATATACAGCAAGCTACACCCAGTACTGCACAGCAGAACCCACAGGAGGCCGCCATGTTGGATTAAAGAGGAAGTAAATCAACCGACTCTTTTCCTCATGCATTTCTGTGTGTCAAAAAAAACATATGTGTATTTGAAATATGATGATAACTTTGTCCCTGGATTGGACATTTATAAAACATAATGTAATGATATGTGGCTTAGCTGATAACCAGCACATTTAACAATACTCCATAGTGGGTAGTAGAAATATATTACCATGTGCTCACTGAAACAGATTGAAAACTAAAATTGACATTGATTAAACCTCAATGGCGAGCTGAATAAAAAACTGATACCTCTAGATAGACAATGAGCCTTTATTGAAGATACAACATTTGATATTCTGCGGGGGCCTGGGAGTTGTTCGAAAAACATTATTGTTCCCGAAAATTCTTGAAAAACATAATTGATCTCCAGACTGTTGAGCGCGGTGCACGTGCGAATGGCTCAGGAAATGTCTATTTAAATATGATTATCAAAACTATGTTGTTTTTAAACATTTTAGATGCAATGGTTATTTAAATGTTGGCCAATAGGTCTGACCACTAAGAGCGAATGTTTAATTGTTAACTGACCATTTCACCGATTAACATAAACATGTGAATAACTTCGATGTCGGCCACTACGGAATCTTGTGTCTGTTTTCACCCGTATGATGTGAAGATTGTGAAATACCTATGCGTGTACTATCACCACTGCAGCAGTGCGTGTGTGCAGGACGCATGTGCCGTGACAATGCGAGGCCACGAAAGTGGTGTGTTCAGCTTGTTCTGACCAACTTCGTGTTACTGTGGCCGGCAGGTCATAGTTACGCATGTTGTGTCAAGTCACAGGCAGGAGGGGACAATGAATATGCATATTAGCATATCCTGTCACAAACACATGCAAAGGCAAGTCAACCGCACATCTGGAACAACACGGGAACATGGGTGCAAGTACATCATTTTTGTGTCAAATTTGGAAATGTCCTCAACATGTCTAGCATAAAGCTCTTTGAAAGCTTTAACGAGGCCACGAATGTTGTACCCCTGATCAAAACAAGAAGCATAATCAGGAGGAATCTGGGTTTCCAACTATCATAGGGATATTCACGGAACTCATTTGGGACAAGTGGAATTAATACCATGTGAATTCTCAAACTGAAAGGATTTGCTTGCATTTTTGTTCTGAATATTGGATTTCTCATCTTAGTACACGCTACGCACACGGCAAACTTAAGGAAAAACTTCAATTCTGATCCAATCTTTAAAGGCTCAGGATAAAATGTGAAACATGAGAACAAATGTCATGAAGTTTACTGAAAGACAATATTTGAAATGCAGAAACCTTTTATAGATAACATTCAAGTGAAATACATGTATCGGCAATAGGTAGGAATGTCCGAGGGCACCAACTGTGCCCGCTCTCCCAACCCACTTGCTGATCTGTTTATGTTTACGGAATAGGATTGGCAAAATCAAAACGGTTGGCCAAGAAGTTTTATTTAAACTTCACGTATATCGATATATATCAATGAACTATTGACTTGCCTTTGTGTGTGGCGAGTGCCACTGATGGTGCGGGATACGTTAACCTTTTCGTGAACACACCTGGTATCATTACTATTTATTAGTGATTCATAAACACATGGTACAATCGACTCTGCTTTTAGAAAATGGATAATTTGTATTATTCAATGTAATAAAACGCACATCCTTGTTTCAGCTACACTGGAATACAAAACACTTCCTTTCACCCAAATCCATCAACAGTGTGTACACGCTATTACAGTAGACAATACGAGGAAGCAGATATGACAAACAGCTGTACACATTCTTGGCTTTTAGCGTGTCATTGGTACTTTTTTCAAGAGAGACTTTTCAGTAACGACTGACGACACATACTTTCATTTTAGAACACATCACAACTAACCAAATTTGAATTTAAAGGATTTTATTCACGAAGCATAATAAAGCATAGTATAATGAAGCAAGTATATAATTGTACTTGACAATTATGTGTAAATAATTAATACAAACAATAATATAATAACATGGCTTATCTTGAACAACATTTACGATGTTTCTTGTAAAACTTCCAAACATGTACGTGTCAAACGAGTAATGCAAATGATTGTCCTTTTGTGGATTCAGAAGATAAACCTACTGTGTGTTGAAATTTGAAGCCGTCCCAGTGTAAAGTAGATACCTCTCAATAATTTGCAACCGACAGCTGAAGTATGTTTATCTCCATTCTACCATGACGGCAACAGCGCTTTGAAAACGGTTCTCTCTTGCATTGAAAAACTGCACAGGATACAAAGGTCTGCTGTCTTAGAACATTCTGAAAAGGGTTCCCAGGTAGTTATATATGTAACACATATTACTAAAGTTCAACATTAAAAGACCCATAGTCACGAATTGTTCGAATAAGAGTTTTTTGAAAGGATGTTGACAAATAACCTCCAAAACATAGTCCGAAGATAGATGTTTTAATTTCATCGCAATCTGCTGAGCACTGTTTGGACTCTCAAAAGTAATTTCTTGAAAATCGAATATGGAATTTCCCATTCTTTGGGTTACAGGATGTAGAAATAGTTTTACAAATGCTGAACGATAATATTTCTCCAACAAACTTTATGAATTAACATTCTGCTATATATTTACATGTGTAAGTCTTATAAGTTAGTGGGGGGCACGGGTGGCCCAGTCGTCTGAGGCGCCGTGATTCGCTGTGCAGAGTTGCGTCCCTTGGGCACGCCAGAAACCTATGATTGTGGGTTCGAATCCCGGTTCACACCGGTTATGTTTCTAGGTTTGTCAGCACCATACCCGTGCTCGTGGGTTTCACCGAAGTGGTAAACGTCTGAGACCTACATCACTTCGGGCTTTCCTCCCACATTAAGCTGACACGCCGCGATATGACTGGAATAATGTTAAAAGCGGCGTTAAACCCAACTCACTCACTCACTCACTTATAAGTTAGTTAGCAATTATCCGCAGTAAATAACAAAAAAAATTACATGAATCTTCACCCTTAACTTGGATGTTCCAGAACTAAACCCACATCACGGTTACTCACACCTCACAACTGTCAATGGCTGCCAATGTTGTTGTTTATATTTTCCGTGCTTCAGCAAATTACAAGAAGCAGGATGACAACCCCGATCTATGATGTGGTTCAACATTAACCTGTAGATTTACTGGGATTGAGCCTGCTGGTACAATATGATTGCCAATTGAAATGAAGTATGACTGAACAGCCGCTTTTGAGGCTGCTGACGAGCCGGCATTGTACGATACGAGGGATTGCATGGTTTGGGACCTGTCAGTTTCAAGATTTCACGGTAATTTGACGCCAGCATGTGAAAGGCCCCGAGACAGTGGTTCGTGTATGTTTCGCTTATTGTGCATGTTCAGAAAAGAATTTCATCATGTTTGACAAGCTTGTGATCAAGCCCCTGTGCTGTGACTTGATGACAGTGATGTCGGGACATTTGTTATTTGTTTACAAGTCAGTTTTCGTGGCCTTTCGAAGGGAGGTGTGTCTTCTGAAGGACTTTCAAACTCCCTCATGCCAGTTCCTAACGTTGGTGGTTGACGGTGATGGCAATAAAACAAAAAGGTTTGTAAACATGTTGTCATGAATAAAAAAATATATAATGTTTTCTTTTACTTTCATTATCGTCTGTTTCAATTGGGGAAAGTACCTGTTCGTCACCAAACATATCCCTAACAGTTTCATAAACGTTATTATTTGTATGCAAAAGATATGACTGGGAAAAACTTTTAGTTGCTATATCTGAATCTCAACATCGAGGTCGGGGTTACCGCTACCACCATGGACGTCAAAATCGTTCGATGCCACACTTGCCGTATTTCCTCTATTAAACGATTGGCCGCCTATTAATTTCGCGGGAGACGTTGATTGTATTAGAGACCCAGCGTCTATAAGAGAAAATATCAGTATACAGTTCGTATGGGTGATCGACAGCCATTTTGGTATGACTCGATATGATTATAGGTCATCGATGTATTCATATGCGCAAAGGAAACCTCTTTTTAACCGACCATATGCCATGGCGGAATGTATCTTGAACTCAGGACACATTTACTCTCAGTAAAACTCTGAATCACCCAGAAACGTATATGGTGTAAAGATATGAACGAACATAGAAGCACAAAACAATGCATCAATATAAGCACGAGCAGTACAAGAAACATGGATGTCAACACAAAATCATTCTTATACTCAGTGAATATTCAGGCTAATCCACAAAAGTGAGTTTAGTCATAAAAGTGTCCGGAACTTAGGCAGGTTATACCCGAATACGCGATCAACAGAGAGTAGTGGTCAGTTGACAGGAATTTGTGTTTGTGACAGGGCATATTTCTGCGAACACCTGCTATGATCTCTCTTTGATACTTTCATACCCACATGCTCATGATACAATTGGAATCGTACAATGGACTCTAGTGGTTATTTCAACTCCTGCCTATATGTCACGTGACAGGTATTATTACAATTTATGTATATCATTTTGCGAATGAGTTTGCAATGAACTTTCCTTTTCAAGAAATAAAATAGTATGCAAAGATAAGGAAACCAACAAGTCGTAAAACTGAGATTAGAATAGGAGTGAGAGTATTACAACCTTCTATATACAAGCATGCATGGTATGTATTTGTGTTGCCTATATGTAAATGAGTGGGCGTAATAGGAAACATAGCTAAATGTGAATAGGTCTGAGTAAAATGGAGCTATTTTATCTGACCTATTGTGTGTGCATGTACAGCTAGGGCATGGGATGTTTGAAAGTAACCATGTTTGAAAGTAAACGTAGTTAAAGTAACTAATAAAAAAATAAACAAGTTTTCAGAAAAAGTTCCGGTTACAGCTGCGTATGGAAGCGGCTGGATTCAAAGAGACCCAAGGCGTTGTTTTGAAAATTCAAGGCAGAAACAGACATCAGCCTGTAATGAAAGTAAAAACTGTGTCATACATATCATATATGTATATATGAACATTAAATGATACAGTGTCGGTAATGTAATGTATCGCCTGACTATTTCCGTGAAAATAGATGCTTTACCTTCTCTCAATTTAACAACTGCCTTGCTTTCAGATAGATATTTCTTTTGAATAATGAAGGGTTTTTTTAAGCTGTTTTTTTAATTATGTAGCGTCAGTTTGCCATACCAGAGTGAAGGGACGTCCCCCGAGACGCGTGTAAAGACGTCGCATATTGGTGATGATGTCTACCTTCCCGTCGTCCTGAATTCTGCTGGCGATGTTGAGAAGCAGCACCAGAAGTCTTGTCTCGGTCATGGAGCTTAAATAGGAGACAATGATAGGTTGGTTCAAGTTGCATAACTAATGAGTCTAGTATAAACGCAGGTTAATAGTATGGCGTTGTGTTTGCTGTATCTATGCTGACAGGCTTACATCACTGTTTCTATCCCACATGACACATTTACGGAAAAAATCCTTCTTTGAACCATAGGACATTGTTTCTAAACGCGGTGAACATAGATGTAGTTGCATCTCCATTTTCAAAGGTTCAGGACAATTTGTCAAAAGCGAAAGCAGACACGAACGTTTAGGCAAAATGTAGGGGTCCCCATGGGCACCAGGTGTGCTCCCATCCTTGCTGATCTGTGTCGTTATGAACATGAATTGGAATATCTGATCGGATGGGTTAAATTAAAAGACATGGGAATTTCGCCAAGATGTTTAAGTCAAAGAACCGATTCTCTAGAAAAACTAGAAATAACAGACACAGTGAAACTGCCTCATCTCTTTTCATATTTACATGAACATCCAGAGTGACAAAAACCTGTCCACAAGACTGTATGATAAGAAGATGACTTCAACTTTCCAATCGTCAATTTTTCCTTCATGTCGAACACATGGTAACCAGCTATTTGATAGTGACTTGTAGCCTTATGCTTATGATATACTTGTACCCGGAATCGTACAATCGACTCATTTTCATAACAAGGAAAAGGGTAATGTGGCTTTTCTTAAACATGAAAAGATGACATACCGTGAAACGATTGTACAAGGATGTCGATGTAGCGCAAGCAAGGAGTCGATCAAAGCCATCCCACTGTGATCTCGAACACTTCCTGGCAAGTGGTGATGCTGAACAGTGAAAGTTGCATTGTCCTCCTGTAGTGACAACAGTGTACAGATCAACTACACACACAGGAAGAACAAACACACATGCTTAAGGGATTGATGCAGAATAATTTATAGTTTTGTTTGCTCGGTAGTTTATAGAAATCAATAGTAACGTAGGTATACAAAAAAATTCATAAGACTTTAAAATAAAACTTTTGATCAACTGTCTTGGTGTAACTTCTACTTTGCTCAAGAAAAGGATTACTTTTGAAACGAGATCAATGGTGTCGACGTTTACGTCATCCATTATGATAGTGCGACTGCGCATGCTTGCTGTGAGTCTTGATGTTGTGACAGAGGATTCTGCTGATGGAAGATATGTCTGCAACAGAAACAGTTCATGAATGCGTATTGTCATCTTTGTGTTCATCTTTGTTTGTTTGGAACGCGAAACAAGAACTACAATCTTCCTTTTGTACCTGATTGTCCTGTGCCCACGTGACCAGATTGCGAGACCTAGTCTTGTAAATTTGATTCCAAACTTCCTCTGTGTCCGGAAGTGACGTCAAGACGTAGAACCCAATTGTGGATACATGTGACTGACAACACAAACATAATACGATAAATCATCTTTGGTTAATTACAATGTTGCCATTTCACATTGAATCCATACGTGTAGTCACTGCCTGCACGACATCTTCATTGAATGGAGTAAGCATAACCAATGCGTTCGTTTGTCTAATAATCCCTCCACCCTATAAAAACATAACCGTCATAAACCAACAGACGGAAGCGAGTGCAGACCAAGAAAAAAAACACATTTTGTTTTACTAGTATTTACTTACAGGCATTGAAACAACGATGTCAATCTCAGTATTTTCTGGAATAGACAATATTTCATATTATTTATCTTGGTCGCAATTGTGCAATATTACTCTTGTTATAAATTATCAACAATTATTTGATGAGCAGAAATTAGAAGATCTAACAGTGAATAATTAATATTAGTGCAGAACCTTGTCTTCGAACACTTTACAAACCATAACAGTTAAAAGGGTAACGTTTTAACAGGTAATGTCATCCATTACAAAGTAGAAAAGATACCAAAACACTGTGCTTATTTTTAATTGTCCTATGGTCGCGGGTGGGGGTGGGGGTATATGTTTTTTCAGGAAACACAGGACATCGTCTCCTTGTAATATTATCATCTACTCACGGGCAGGAGTACACTGAAGCACCTGTAACAGACACAATCTGGGCATGAGGAAATATACTTTTCTTTCCTTGTTCAAATGTTCAAAACGGCTGCATTACATATTGAAGAGAGGTTTCTTTTGAACCCCTGACGATTGAAATGTTTCATGAATACCAACTCTTGTACAGTATTAACAAACAACATACTTATATATACTCACACGCAAAAGAAACGCAAGTGGTTTTAAGCAAATAGGTAACAAACACGGAACCATAAATTGATACGAATTTTAGCATGTAGTGAAGCCTGATGGTGTTATCAATATTTTTGGTTGCATTTTGGAAGCCCCGAGTAAAAACGCACCATAAAAAACGAATCGCCAAACCGCACCATTTCAATGAATATGTGGGTATCATGCACCCATTTCTCACCGATTCTTGGACCTACCACTCCTTGGTCAACAATGCCACGCCTAACTCAAATTCAGAGAAACCAGGCTATCGGACGTTTGGAAGCTGGAGAGTCTGTCCAAGATGTTGCCCGTCATTTCAAAGTTAACATAACCACAATTTACCGTCTCCAGCATCGATACAATGCTACACAGACCACAGATGACCTCTCGGAGCTGTCGTCCTAGGGTCAACAAACCTAGACAAGATCGGCAGATTACCCGTCATCCGTTCCTAACTGCAAGTGAAAGTGCTCGACAGACCATAGGAACACATAATCGACACATTAGCCGGGACACTGTGATCCGACGTCTCCGTTCCAACAAACCATGTGCTTTCTGAATGTTGGTCAAGGTCGGGGACACGGCGTCACTGCTCAGCGGTATGTCGACCAAGTGATCAGACCCCACGTTGTTCCATTTCTTGCACAACATCAACAACACATTTTCAAGCAGGACAACGCACGTCCCCATGTTGCCAGAGCTACCATGGCCTTTCTGCATCAACACAACATCCGTGTTCTACCGTGGCCAGCCCTCAGCCCTGATCTGAACCCCATCGAACACTTGTGGGATGAGGTTCAAAGGCGTCTGCACAATGTGCGCCCAGTCCCTACAGCTGCCGATGAACTACATGTACGCACAGCTGCTCTGGATGTTTGCAGGAGGATCCCTAGGGCCTTCACAAATCGTCTGATCCACTCACTGTACAGGAGATGTGTCGCAGTGATCAATGCTAATGGAGGTCACACCAGGTATTGATTGACATTTTAGGTATTGACCTGAAACTGTGTAAGCCTTTAACATTTGAAAAAAAAACCAATAATGTCATCTGCCTTTTAATCCATTAAACTGTCTGTAGTCACATTTTTGTCAATCTTGCCCTATTAGTATTTCTTGTCTTTACTGTTGAAAATAAATAACATGTATACTGCATACTCGCCTTGCGTTTCTTTTGCGTGTGAGTATATATATATATTACCTCAAGATGTTGTTGTACAGTCTTGTTTCCCATCGTGAGGTTAGCAAGGTGGCCAAGATCCACTCCCTTCAGCGTACGGGAGTCCAGAGTCATGTCTCCGTCTGCCGCCGCCCTCGCCACCGCCTGGTACACGAACAGGTACTGATCCTGTTGGTAAGATTCATCAGCGCTAGAGTGAATGTGAACTTGTCAGATAAATATGGTGTTTATATCTCATCGGAGGATTTCGGGTGCAGGCAGGGGACACTTTTTTGGCATTATTTTTGACGTATGTTCAATAAAAAGTAAACACAATTTACGGATAACAACTTGTTTAATACCGTAAAGGCAACGTTCGGTATAGATCCTTATACCGTCAGTCTTGCTTGACAATGGTATAAGGATTTTTACCGAAGCGTCGCCTTTGCAGTATTAAAGAAGTTGTTATCCATAAATTGTGTCTACTTTGTCATCCGTCAACTTCTAAGTAATGCCCATCAAACGATTCGTATGTTCATTAGTTAAGCCACATGCCTAACCACATCCTATCTTATCTTGTTTGTCAAGCTTAAGTTCAACTTTTTGGTAAAATTACCTATTTTTGACTTTGCCAATACAAATACAGTTTCATAAATTTCCCATTATCCGCTACATCGGTGTACAATTGAAACAAGATATACATAATCGTCTTCAAGCTCCTCAGCTACTCGGCGTCGCGTAATGTGTATTAACATTGACTAAAGATGTATGTGATGCTCTCAGCCTGAACATAAATATAACGATTATCTCACGAAAATGTTTCCGTTGGGCGTTTAAGGTAAAATAGAGGTGAAATTTGAATGAATGCGTCACTGATGAGACCAGCAAATTATTATATGATATTATATTATTCATTCTTGTAAATATTAACAGGTGATACAAAGATCTTTCTGTTCATCCGTTTAACCTATCACACATGTGCATTCAACACTAACTTTTGATTGTATCATGCCTTTCCTCTGACTTCTCGAGTTGGAGACGAAGCTGACAACGTCCGCAGTGCCCTCTGTTGTAGCCTGCTCCACGAGACTATCAATAGCGATGTACGTGCCTGTCTGGCCAATGCCGGCGCTGATTGAGGATGATACAAACAGTATAGATACACATGCTATGTGAACACGACATGTCAAAATAGTAATATTCACTGAAAATTGACACGTTGCTTACACTAAAATTTATTTTATCAAAACAAATCTCTCAAAATGAAATGTGTTCAGAAATACCCATTGATTGTTTCGAATAAGGACTACCATTCGTCAACACGCACCTGCAGTGAACGGTGATTGGATGCTTTTGTTTTCCAGCTAGTTCCTTGATCTTCCACCTGAACTCCAAGAATGCATACATATCTGGAACACTACGATCCAGCCAGGTTGTAAAATGGAAATGACGCACGTGTCGCTTCGTTGTCTTCTAAATAATACAATATTGATATACTATGCGTTAGACGTTCAACAATGTTGTCAGGTGGTATAAAGCTGATGTGCCTGATTCGAATCTTAGTACTCTTAGTGAGTGAGTGAGTTGGGTTTAACGCCGCCTTTAACAATAGTCCAGTTATATCGCGGCGTGTCAGCTTAATGTGGGAAGAAAGTCAGAAGTGATGCAGGTCTCAGACGTTTACCACTTCGGTGAAACCCACGAGCACGGGTATGGTGCTGACAAACCTAGAAACATAATCGGGGCGAACCGGGATTCGAACCCACAATCAGAGGTTTCTTCCGTGCCTAAGGGACGCAACTCTGCACAGTGTAGTACTCTTAACTTATAAGAGTTCAGGCAATGCAATGCTTCTAAATAAAGGCATGTTTACCTTCTTGTGTTGCACAGTCAGGTTTGCGAGTGTGTAGTTTGCAAGACATGTTTCTGTCTCCATGGTTACCGTGATGTCACCGTATGAGACCTGGTCTTTTTCCGGCCAGTAACGAATACAATTCATCTGCAATAGAACAGTACCAATGTTTCTACGTGTAAAATGCTATAAAAGCCGCAAAGTGGTATTTTGCAGATAAGCGCAGGCATCCATGTTTGTAAAGTGAGCTACTGCAACGTCACAATATCAGCTGTAGACCATGTGTATGACGTCACGGGTAAATGTTTGTATGACGTCACGGGTAAATGTGCAAAGGGAGCGTTGGGCATCCAACACAACAGGTGTAAAGCCACCCGGTGTTTGTTATCAACTCAATACCAAGAAGACATGAAACAATGTTAACTTAGTGTTTGTCTACGCAGAGAAAGCATCTCCATTTAAGGGTCACGTGTTTTGTGATCATAAATTACAATCTCAGGTTTTGCCTTGATAAAGATTATTGGTTTATCAGCATTATATCCATTCTCCTGGGTTTCGCCAAACTGGTGAACATCTGTATATGCAAATTCTACCATGACCTTGTAAAAGCCTCGACTTTAAACAGACAAATTGAGAAGTTTCAATTCACACTAAAAAACCTGTCTCAAACAGCTGATTGGACGCCCGCATCACCATAAAGATAATATTTATTAAAAAAAATACTAACTCATTTTTTGTAAGCATTTTAAAATATTGATATTTTAATTTTTAATGAAACACAGAATAAGGACAACAATCAACATATGTATGGCAAAATATTCTGGGCATGAAACACCAAAACAATCGACAAGGAGAATGTATTTTCAAACCTTTGCATTTTGCGCCCAGTCGAATCTGTTTTGGCGGATAAACGACAATGGTTACTCTTTTGCGTTGACGTTATATATTTTATGAACTTATTTAATATTACAAACCTATAAGTTTGGCTAACTACTATTTCGTCTATTCCTACCTTGCCCCCTTCCTCGAGTCCCGTCACCATGACGATCGTAGTGCATCCTTCCCGCCAGATCATCCTCCAGAAATCCTCAACAACATCGGGCTTGTAGGGCCCTTAAAACACATTGTGTCACGAGTAGCTTTTATCTAGTCATTAACGATCACATACTGATTCCGCAAATCAGTAAACAAGTTTGTTTAAAATTTGTACCAGCGGCAAAGCCTTATATAGAAGAAAGGAATGTTGGTATGTATTAGAATACTCTGGTGAAAAGAAAGCAGTTTTAACAAAAGAATATGTTCTCTAAGCTGCGACAAATAACCATATCAGTGTTTGGTTTTATTGTCAAATTCTTTCACAAGGTATTCAATAGTTCTTCTATTAAATGTCAATAGTATTATATGTCATACCTTGTGCAGCGATGTATTTCCTCTCAGTCTTGTAGCCCTTAAACAATGTCAGCAGGAAAGATGAAAGTGTTTAAATCATAACAATCCCTAACAATCGTTCAGTAACTATACCAGTATTGCAGCAGATAAAATGTTAACATCAAAATCAAGAGTTTCTTTTTTGTCTTCTTACAACTATTTAATTATGTCATGCCACTAACGCAGATAAATATTCGTCACTCACGTCCATGTAGCTGGCATTGATGTAGTTGCTGGTCTGGCCATCGTTTAACACCACCCGGTTGTAGTCATCTAAGGCAAAGAACAACTGTTCATGTCTCAGTTTGTGTTTGTGTTTGTGTATAAGTTTATGACTAGATTTAAGTTAAACTTACATGGGTAGTACGATTGAAATCTGTTTTTCCCTTTGTTTTGTGGTAGCTGGGAGTCCTTGTAACGGTGCAGGAAGCCATCTGGCAAATTCTGAAAATAAATGAGACAAAAACCGGAGTGTATCATGTGTGTCGGCCTACATCACTGCCATGTGTTTACGAGTCATTACTAAAATTAATAAAGAATATTGTGTTCGACAAGAAAGCTGATAATTACATTTATAATTTATAACAACAACAGAAGCTGTTTGGTCTTGAATACTGACCTTAAATTCCTCCTCTGCTTCTCTAGGATGTTCCTCAGGTTGATGTACAAAGTCCTCCAGATCTGACAGTTGAATCATTCGACGACCGACGCAAAGGCTATGGCGGGTAGGATAGTTCTCATGTGGATGACCACTCTCTCTCAACAGGCCGTGAATAGGGTCAGTGTAGCTCTCCTCTTCGGAAATAGTCTCATACACAGATGTTTCTGTAATCGTGCGTCCACCCGATTCGTGATTCACATTTGTTAGGCCTGGAACTGATCCATGTTCGCTCTCATCTCCAAGCCGCTCATAAACACTCTCTGAAAGAACATATAGTCGTATCTAAACAGATTGCTGAAGGAATATTTCTCACCTGTAGACACAATGTTTTCCTCCATCTGCAAGGCACGGGTGTCCCAGTCGTCTGAGGCGCAGGAATGCACGGTGCACAGTTGCGTCCCTTAGACACGCCAGAAACCTATGATTGAGGGTTCGAATCCCGGTTCATCCCGAATATGTTTCTAGGTTTCTCAGCATCATACCCGTGCTCGTGGCAAACTTCTAAGACCTGCATCACCACGGATTTAACTACCACATCAAGTTGAGACGCCGTGATATCGCTGGAAAAATGCCTAAAGCTGCGTTAATCGCAGCTCACTCACTCACCCAATAACATTTCATTGGCAATGAAGTAAAATCTCATTGGAATATGTTAACGACATTTACAGAACTAAACGTATTTTCTAAATTTATACCCTGCGTTGTTTCTTGTTGGAATTCAGGTTGACTCAGTTGTGAATAGTGCAAGTCAACCCCACTTGATGGTCTCACTGCAAATAAACCGAAGTCAATTTCATATTTTATTATATTTTAAAGTGTGAAGTACTGTATTCATTGATTACAATGCAAACCATATCAATAACACTTTTGATCCGTATTACAGTAGTAGTAGTAGCAGCAGTAGTAGTAGTAGTATTAGTAGTAGTAGTAGTAGTAGTAGCAGCAGTAGTAGTAGTAGTAGTAGTAGTAGTAGTAGTAGTAGTAGTAGATGGAATTGAAAGAAGCAGCAATGGATTCAAACAGAAATGACATACACTTTTAAGGTTTTCTTATAAGAGCCAAGGATTTGAGATACAATCTCAATGTCAGTGTTGATTTTGGTGATGGTTCTTTACTCCTGGATGTTAATGAGTACTGAGTGTCAACCAAGCGAGGTGACATATCAAGTGACTCAGTTTTTCAAGGAGAAGTTTTCTAAACGATCACTGCATCCAGTTTATGTGCAGTGTGTTGAGAAAATCAGCAACCTTGTAGAGGCCTTCGCTAGAATGAAGTAGGCTGGCATGGTTTTCTGTTTGTTTTCTGTTTGTTGCTTAGGACCAGTCATTTCCCACGATGCCGTCAATGTGTGATTTTGTATTGAATGTAAATATGAAATGTAAATTATGCAATGAATTTAATGAGACTGTACAACACAGTGTCAGTGGATGCCCAGCTTTGCCACAAACACAGTATCTCAAGAGACATGATGAAATTTCTCGAACGTTTTATTGCCATCTTTCCAATGCTTGTAGTATTGACACAGAGGTCCATCCATGGTACGACCAGGAATATGTAGAGGGTGTTATGGAAAATGATCAGTACAAAATTCTTTGGAATAGGCCCGTATACAGCCTCAGACCTATCCAGGCCAACAAACCTGATCTTGTCCGTTTTGATAAATCCAATGAAATAATTTATATCACATACACTTGAGAAACCCTCAGAAAACTCAACACCACACTCAAAGAATATCAGACCTCTATAAACAACTAGACCTGAAATCAGCTATTTCCGAGCACATCCTCAAGCACCAAGGCCATAACATCATGTGGGAAGCCACCAAAGTCCTGTCTACCAACAACTGGCGACAAAGAAAACTACAAGAAGCCATTGACATCAGGAGACACCAGCCAGCCATGAGCCGTAATCAGGGAATCTATTTGCCCAATGCTTAGGATTTATTGCTTTGATCTTTGTCAATGGTAATTATCTAGCTGGCTTCCATTTGTGTATTGTCATTTCCATTCTGTTACCTATCAGTGTTAATCATCCCAGGCATCCCGTTTGCCCATTGTCCATTGCCTATTAGGAGTGTTGGCGCTCCTTTTGTCAATTGCTTATCACATATAAGCGCGAATTATCTATTGGCTCCCCTTGTTAAGTTTCCACCTTTGTTATCGTATTGCTTTTGTTGTTTATACAGGTACAAAGTTATGTTCTATGCATCATATCATCTATTCACTTGATAAAGGAGTAAGTATATACTCCGAAAGGTTACATCCATAGATTTTCTTCCTTATGTGTATCACTTCTCCACGCCTTTCAAAGATTTGATGTGAATGCATAGTTTTACACAAGCATCCCCTTAATGAAATGGATTAAAACATCTAGCAATTTCTTAAATCGTTTCGTAAAAAAACATAATGCTCATTCATTAAAAAACAGATGCTCAAACATAGAAAGAAATGTGAAGATGATTTAAATGTTATTCATATGTTTGTTTCATACTTGTACAAAATAGTCACATGTTCCGATGGTGCTCTTTTGATTGAACCATAAAGCATGTTGAGGCCCATGTCATTCCAACGGGTAATGCTGAACTGTTTCAGATGAATTATCGACACATTGGTCACATAGAGGGGATACCTCCTTGTCAATAGTCCTGCAGGCATTCAATGCACGATGACCAAGACGAGGTATAGTCAACGTCTTCATCACGCCTCGTACGACGACGAACTTTACAGATGTGTTTAACTGTTGGGCAAAGTTTGTGCATATGTCGTCCAGTGGGACCGACATCCTACAAATCTTGCCACGTTATGGAGACCGACTTTGCAATGGCATAATTGAAATACTTTTGTAAGGACAGAGTTAAGAGTATTTACTTCATCATTGTGAACCATTTCGCGAATTTAGATTAGTTGTATTTGACCGAAATATTTCGTTTTGGCTGAATTTCGTAACGCTATGACAATGTAATGTGAACAGGCTGATTCTTTACAAATGCAACGTATCATAGACCAGAGTAGCTTCCCGTTAACAGTAGTGAGCTGGCCTATTGATTGTCGCAAAAGATATTGACTGACGAAGTTATCTTTGTGCTTTATGACATTGTCTTGAAAACATACATAGACAGTTGAATTGTGCCTATTCAGTAGCAAAACCACTATCGGAAATAAAAAGCCAAACCATATTACCTGTTGTTGCTGTCTCATACTTGATATTACCATAGCAAAATACAAGTATATCTCTCATAATTAAACGTAATATTTATCTGAACAGACAGTTGTAGGTGTATATGTACATTGATGAGAAACTCAGCACTGACCTGAACCCGACCTACAGATCATGATGCCAGTTGCACGTTGACTTACCTTCAGAGTTGTGTACGGTTTGATGTGCAGACTCCTCTGCTGTACGTTTCCTACTTTTTCTGAAATAGAGTGATTCTCATTTTTCCGGGACCTACCAAGAAATCACAGGACAAGAGAGGTTGGCCTGCACAATGTGAATATGCAGGCCAAGACACGTGGATATGCGAATGGAGATTTATTAAATCTAGGTGTAGATGTTGATAAATGTTTGATTGAAAATAGAGAGAACTACTTTGGAATTTATTATTTCAAAACAGTCAGACAATACTTTAAAAAATATAGGAGAATAAATAAAAGCAACAAAACCATTTCATGGACCGTTCTTCCAGATTTATTATTGAAGTTAATTTATCAGACGGGTCTTTTCACCAATATCTAATACAAGGCAGGTGAAAAAGGCAGGGGGTGAACTATAAGCGACACAACACTTAATACGAGGGATTCGCGAATATTTAGAAAACTGACCTGATTCGGACGATGATGAGAACAATCAGCATGGCTATCAGTACTATGGCAACTGCACCTGCTGCTAGAGGTATCACAGCCGAGTAAGCTGAAACACAGAATGGAAGTATTAACATTAGTGATTATTTGATGTTTTGGGCCAATTTATGAAGGACACTGTCGTAAAAAAAGATGAACTTGTTTGTCGTTTTCATGAAGCAGGTACATACATGAAATCTACAGAGAGTGTCTAAGTTGAGTACCTACAGACAGACAATGTAGTGACAGTCTCTTCTCGAGTGTCCAACTGCAACAACTAGCTAGCGCTGTAGATAGATGCAGTGGCCGAGCAATCGCATCCAAAAGTGGGAGAGATATGACAATCATTATTGAGAGAATATGCGGGAAAGACCAAATTTGACCCCATGTATGAAATGGAATTGTCCGACATTGCCGAGGTCGGATTCTACGGGTAGGTATTTTAAAAGATTATACATTTTATCGACATCCTAAAGAGGCTGGATATAATACTGATATCTCATGATATGAAATAAACGTCGTTGTTTATCGAATAATAAAACTGTTATTTCTTAACTTTACCTCCATTTCTGAGTGGGAGACCATCGCAAACAACTAGGAAGCAAAAGGCTGCACGTCCCTTACAAGTCAATGCAAGTCATGGGACACAACACAATTACGGCACAAGTTAACCTCGAAAAGCTTTTTTCTACCAATTTTCAATTTGTTTTAATTCTTTTACAATGGCAGATGGCAGGTAACCATAATTTGTTCCAAGCACCTACGGTATTCGGTAATAACATCAACAGTTTAAATCATAAGTCCCAAGCACGAGAATCTGATGGCACACAATTTCAGTAGCGTGTATGGCCACCATGTTGGTTGACGACTGCCACACAACGCCTCCGCATGGACCTTGTGATGCTGGTTAACACATGATTGGGAAGACGACGCCATTGTTGCTGCAAAATGGTGCCAAGATCTTGCAAATTCTGTGGTTGGTTCTGGAGAGTGCGCATACACTTCTGCCAAGAGCATCCCAGATGTGTTCGATAGGATTGAGGTCGGGAGACGTTGACGGCTAGTCCATGACGTTGACTCCCGCATTCTGAAGGAAATTCCTTGTCAAAATTGCTGTGTGGGGTCTGGCATTGTCGTGTTGGAAGATCAAACCGGGTCCATGTGCTGCAATAAAAGGCAGAAGTTCTGGTGCCAGCACCTGGTCGCGGTAAGCAGCAGTGTTGAGGTTGCCACGGATGACAAGAAGCCTTGAACGTGCATTGCCACAGAAAGCACCCCACACCATGACACTTCCATCTCGAAATCAGTCAACTTCCGGTACACAACACTGGGCGTAACGTTTATGACGGCGCCTCCACACCCTCGCCCTACCATCAGCAAATCGAAGATGAAATCGGGATTCATCACTGAAGACGACTTGATTCCAATTCCTCTGAGTCCATCGTAAGTGTTGCGGTGCCCACAATTGACGTTGACGTCTGTGTAATTGAGTAAGAATCGGCCCGCAGTATGGCCGTCGTGCTTGAAGGTGAGCAGTTCTCAGACGGTTTCACTCAGTCTACCCCTAAACAGTTCATTTCTGGTTGATGTAGCCGTCAAAAATCGGTTACGGAGGTGACGTAAGACAATCTGACGATCCTCTGCATGTGACGTCACACGTGGTCGACCTGGCCGAGGGCGATCAGCGGTGGTACCCGTTTGCTGTTGACGCGTCTGTAAATCATAAACAGTCCGTCGACTACAACCCATCGTCCTTGCGACTTCAGCTAAGGACGTTCCCGTCTGCAACATGCCGATGGCACGTTCACGTTGCACATTTGAATGGCGTGGCATGACAAATGGCCGTAAAGACTTTTGTTTTCTTGTGTTTTTCTTTTTTTGTTAATGACTGCTAACAAGTATGGCTGAAAACACGTGCGGTATTATGGCCACGTGACCAGTTGCACGTGAAAAACCACTTTTGCCACTATAGTGCTGTGCACATGATTTAACTGATCGATTCACCTGCACAAAAACGGGTGATATCTGAAGACAATACGTGGCCATTACTGTTTAAATACACAATAAGGGCCCACAATGATAACTTGTCAAAATGTTAAAATTTTAGGATTCTGAAGTTTTGAATTTGGTTCAGTATATAATCTTTTGAACATAATCACAATGGTGTGTATTTGGTATTTTTTGCATCAAATTCCAAAAGACCTCCTCCCCTGTATCCACCTCTGTACCTAACACCCTGGTCCACAGTCTCAAGGACACACTCCACTGAATGGAGAACACTACACCTGATAGTAAGACCTCACCTGTATCACACTTGTCTCCCCGCCACCCTGGTCTCCAGTCTCCAGATCATACACCACTGACTGTACAACACTACACCTGACAGTAAGACCTCACCTGTACCACACCTGTATCCCTGCCATCCTGGTCTACAGTCTAAAGGACACACACCACTGACTGGACAACACTACACCTGACAGTAAGAACCCCTTACCTGTTTCATATCCTGCCACCCTGGTCTACAGTCTCCAGGACACACACCACTGTCTAGAGAACACTACACCTGACCGTAAGACCTCCTCACCTGTTTCACGCCCTGCCAACCTGGTCTACAGTCTCCAGTACACACACCATTGACTGGGTCACACTACACCTGATAGTAAGACTTCCTCACCTGTATCACACCTGTATCCCTGCCACCCTGGTCTACAGTCTCCATGACACACACCACTGACTGGGTCACACTAAACCTGATAGTAAGACCGCCTCACCTGTTTCACACCTGTCTCCCTGCCACCCTGGTCTAGAGTCTCCAGGACACACACCACTGACTGGGTCACACTACACCCGACAGTAAAACCTCCTCATCTGTATCACACCTGTCTCCCTGCCACCCTGGTCTACAGTCTCCAGTACACACACCATTGACTGGGTCACACTACACCTGATAGTAAGACCCCTTCACCTGTATCACACCTTTCTCCCTGCCACCCTGGTCTCCAGTCTCCAGGACACACACCACTGACTGGAGAACACTACACCTGACAGTAAGACCTCCTCACCTGTATCACACCTGTCTCCCTGCCACCCTGGTCTACAGTCTCCAGGACACACACCACTGACTGGACAACATTACACCTGACAGTAAGACCTCCTCACCTGTATCACATCTGTCTCCCTGCCACCCTGGTCTAGTCTCCAGGACACACTTCACTGACTGGACAACATTACACCAGACAGTAAGACCTCCTCACCTGTATCACACCTGTCTCCCTGCCACCTGGTCTACAGTCTCGAGGACACACACCACTGACTCGGGCACACCACACCTGACAGTAAGACCTCCTCACCTGTATCACACCTGTCTCCCTGCCATCCTGGTCTAGAGTATCCAGGACACACACCACTGTGTGGGTCACACTACACCTGACAGTAAGACCTCCTCACCTGTTTCACATCCTGCCATCCTGGCCTACAGTGTCCAGTACACACACCAGTGCCTGGGTCACACTCCACCTGACAGTAAGACCTCCTCACCTGTATCACACCTTTCTCCCTGCCACCCTGGTCTACAGTCTCCAGAACACACACCACTGTCAGGGTCACAGGAGCTGTTCAGACAGTGGCAGAATTTGTCGCAGAAATTGCCATATGTCCCAAGACTGCACACTGCACATACAAGGAGGGGGAATTCACATATGTCACTTTAAAGCCAAACCTCGTTAATTCAAATGCGGATCATTGAGACAGCATGAGTAACAATATTACAAGACGTATGGTGTTTGAGTTAACCTATTCTAATTGTATGAGCGATTCAGTAACAAGGTAAAATCCCTCATCAACTGCCTTAATCACACCAAGACTTCTCCAGTCACTATACTGCTTTGAACATTAATAATATTAAACATGAACGCCAAACAATTACCAATAATAATAATTACCAATCTTGATTATCGCAGAAATAAATTGCAGTGGGCAGAAGAGACAAAAATATTAGTGAAAATGATATGAACGGATCAAGTATTTGTGTTTTGCCTAGGACGGCGGCACGTTGTTTGTTTCTTTGTTTGTTTGTTGTTTAACGCCGCATTCAGCAATATTCCAGCTATATGACGGCGGTCTGTAAATAATCGAGTCTGGACCAGATAATCCAGTGATTGATATCATGAGGATCAATCCACGCATTTGGAATCGATGACATGCATCAACCAAGTCAGGGAGCCTGACCACACGATCCCGTTAGACGCCTTTTACGTCAAACATAGTCGCTTTTTACGGCAAGCATGGGTTCCTGAAGGCCTATTCTACCCCGGATATTCACGGGTCCAGCGGCATGTAAACAAATCAGACAATAAAGTGATCGCTCAGAAAATCCAGCAGCATCAAAGCCAATTGCTGAACTCAATTTAATAAGACTAAATTTTAGTGGCATTTCATTCATATGTTTACAGTGGCCATTTGCCACAACGGTCCTCTATGTGGATTTGCAAAACCGAATTAATATTAATTCCATTTAATACTTTATCTAAAGCTTCATTTGAGCTAGGCAACTTCCAAATAATATCCAGCCTTTTCCACAGTAAATGTCACATATAGTTCATATACCATGTTTAACTTTTGCACAAATTGAATGAAACACCATACATGCTATGAGCTTGTCAAATAAGATGGCTCGTTATCAATTGGTAGATTATGTAAAATATGATAGTACCAACACATCGCCTTGGCCGTCCAAATTCAGTTGGTCAGAGAGGCTTAACATCAGATAATATGTGATGTTATATTAAAACCAATGTTTATTTGTCCAGACCGGAGAATCCCTTTATTCAACATACCGTATATTTCCACTTCACAGATGTTGAGCGTGTCTTCCCCTTTAGCCGCTGTCCCCGGGTTCCTGATGGTGAGGTATCTGCCCCTGCCGTCACACACCAGGGCGATCACTGAGTTGTTGACAGTGGCAGGGAATGTGTAGCACAGCGTCCCGTTAGAGGAGGTGTCATTACTCAGGTGTATGGTGCAGTCAACGATCCTGCGTAAATCTGAAAGTTAAATCTTTACGA